GACCATAAATCATAGTTAAATTAATCAATATACCTTGAGAACCACCTAATATCTGCAACGCATTGACAAACCGCCGGTGCAAGTCCGGCGACCAGCACCTCCTCGCCTTTCTCTGACTCCCCGACAACCCGTCACAAGACACATTGCTCCCTCCTCCCCCCTTACTCTGCTGCAGCTGATCTCCCCCTCCGCTCTTACTTCCGCCCTCCCTCCTCCCACCTTTCTCTCCATTCTCCTTCTCCAACCTCCTCACCTCCACCTCCTTCTCCCCGGACACCAAAGCCAGCTCCGTGCTCTTCTCCTTGGAGAACGGATGGAACGCTCCCCCACATCGTGTCTTAGCCTCTAATTTCAGTCCCGGCTCCCTGCCATCATCCCTGCTCCACAGCTGCGCAGAAACCATCCAACTGGCTTTGTCCGATGAAGATGGCTTCTCGGATTCTTCAAAGCTCATGTTTTTCAGAGGAATGAATTCTTCAAGCACAGGTCTTGGCGCTTCATTGCTCGGTTGGTATGCTTCTAATTGCCGCTTGTAAGTCTCCATGGCTTCATATACCACAGAACCGAGATAAAAGATTAGAATGGAGCGCCCAAAACTCTGTAATTATGCCTTAATGATAATATGAGAAGTTACCGTTGTTGAGGAGCTGCATACAGAGAGGGAGCTCGCGCTTAAAGGCGTCAATTTTGAGCCTTTCGTCCTCCAGGCGAGTGAGGAAGTCTTGAAGCTTTTCCTCTTCCAATGGCTTCTGGTCTTGATTCATGGTGGGCTTGGTTGGGTTGCAGTCCAGGGTTAAGTCAGATGGAGAAGCAGCCATGGATGACGCGAAGCTGTAGACTGAGAGTCAGAGTGGGGGTCTGTGTGTTGGTTTTATGGAGGAAGAGAATGGGGAATAGGGGAAGGAATAAAGTGAGGGAGAGGAGGTGATGAAAAGTAAGGAGGGTGGTAACTTCCGGGTGAGGGGAAAGTTGAGGAAATGGTCTGAAATGGTTATTGCATGTAAGAGAGGAATGGGGGAGTGAAGGAACAGAGGTGGCCTGTGCTTTTGATCTTTTTATATGATCCATTCCTCTCTTGTTACTGATTTCAAGTTTTAATCCCTGCAACAGTTCACCCAAGGGTTGAAGCTCTTGGATCCTCAGCAAAGTAACCCAAGACCCGACACGACCCACATGCAAAATATGTCACAAGGAAACACACATATGCAATGTAACCATAAACGGTCAACGACACGCTGAACTTGTCCTATGGACCTCACCTAGGTTCTTAGGTTTGAAATTCTTAGATCTGTGGTATAGTCGTCTCTGACTTTGGCGTGGAAATATGGAGGGCTTCGCTCTCTGATTTCTCGTAGGGGAGTCCTTCATTGTTCGTAGGGCGGACTAATTTTTTTTGTTGGTGAACTTAATATAAAAGATTTCGAGAATAAATAAATAAATAATAAATTTTACATAAATATCAAATTAATATATATTAAAAAGAATATGATTCTCTTATAATTAATTCATGAGCATGTGCAGTTGTGCACAGGTAACACAGGCAACTTAATTCAACTAGACCCAACCTTCCACTCATTTTTGGGCCTATGTCACAAGCTTAAAATAAAGTTAAAAAGATATCATAACCATTAATCAAGAACAATATAGAAAATTACTTTTAAATAGTTGACATTTATTTTTTAAAATGATAATTTTCTTCTTAATTTGAATACCATTAATTTTAATAAATTCTTTATTATTTTTGAAAAGAAAACCTATTAAAATAGTTTTATCATACTCGTAAGTGTTTGGGTCCATTGGCCAGCCAAATAGACGAAGAAATCAGCAAAGTAAATTACATCATGTCGTTAAACGCACAGTGCGTTAGCCGGCTAAAGAGACACGAAATATTGCCTCAATAAATTAGATGTGTGGTTGACGGTGTGGATTACATCATATCGTCAAACAGACAATGTGTCCTGTCGTTAAACGATCGGTGTGTGAAATGACCGATCCATCGTTCGAAGGACATAATATTTTCTTCGAAAAAAAGAGAATTTGCCAACACAAAAGTGGAGAGAATGCCAATTTTTCTTACTGCGTATATTTTCAGAGGTTTCAAGGAGAAACAGAAGGGAATCAAATGCTCACAAGCTTTGGGCATTAACAATGAAGGAGGGGATATCTCTGCCATATGCAGGCACAAGAAAAGAGAATATCGTCGCACGAGGTTCCCTAAGCAAGGAATATCTCATAGGATTTAAAGAACCCCAAGCCTTCGCTATCCCTTCTCCATTAATTCAAAGGGAAAAGGTGATTAAAGCGATAAAGGAGGGCCATGGGAAGATGAGAATCTCCCTTCTTACTCCTCATCCCTGCTTTAGAGGAAGTGGGAAGGAAGGTAAGAAGATTCCACCATTCTACCTCGCTTGAATTGCGGGGTTGTAAATGAGCCGAGCTTGAGCGAGTTTAGGCTCGCTTCGTTAAATAATACTCCTGTTCTTGTTCAGCTCATTAATATATGCACACAAAGTTACACGAGATGTTCATTAACAATGTCCTTTTGACATCTCTAACCACGTAGCCATAGTATGTTTATATTATATTAAAATATTCATTTCAATAAAATTAAACATATTATTATTTTATTTTTTTTAAATTAATAATTATTTTAATTTATTATAAGGCTTTGTAGTCTTACAGGTAATTAAAGTACTTAAAAATAATACTCATCAATTATATATATAATTTAATTATGTCGAGCGAAAATGAGTAACTTAACAAGCCGAACAAATTGAACAACCTGTTCGGCTCTTTAACGTAAGAAAATTGTTTGTTCTGTTCATTTATTTAGTGAACAAATCGAACACGAGTTACTTAACGAGCCGAAAATGAGCTGTCCACGAACAACAAGCCGAATATCAGCCGAACAGGAGTTGTCCAAGAATAACGAGCTGAGCATGAGCTGTCCGAACATTGAACTGCTCAACGAACCGAACATTTGGTGTCCACCAATAACCCTCACTTGAGGCTTTGTTCTTGAGAGAGAGAGAGAGAGAGAGAGAGAGAGAGAGAGAGAGAGAGAGAGAGAGAGAGAGAGAGAAAAAATAAAAATCAGAGTGTAATAATGAGAGTTGGTCGCTTTCCTGAGCAGTCTTGAGATACAAGCCTCCAACTGGAGACTTTTGTGCAGATTCTCTCTTTGCTTTTAAGGGTGTGAGTTTCAATATAATTAGCTTTAGAGAAGAATCTACTCGGGACAGCTGCTGCTTGTATTCCTCTCCATCTCGTTGGTGAATATCCCCTTTGTCTGCTGCGTGTGATGGAAGACTATATATATATTCCCCATTTTTGTCCCTCAAGTCAAAAAGAATGCCTTTACAACCTATCCAATGTTATAAGTTATTGATACACACTTTTTACTATTAGTGATAGGAGAAAATATCTCGTTCCGTCCGGATAGCCAACCAACGACGTTCACGTTGTCGTACACGTCATCAGCGAGTGGTTGGCCGTTCAGTAACTTCTGCTAATATCTCGTCCGGATAGCCACGTTCACGTTGTCGTACACGTCATCGGCGAGTGGTTGGCCGTTCAGTAACTTCTGCTAATATATTAGTTTATGAAGTCTATGTTAGCGGCCTAAGATAATATTTTGTTAATCTTGGGTACTAATATTCTACTTAATACTTGGAATATTTATATACATGCCACTCAATTCCAATGTATTTAGATATATAACATCTAAAATTCAATTTTTACATCCATGCCCGCTCACTTTTGCATGAAAAAGTGTATTTTTTTTATTTTTACAAACTAGTGTTTGGTAGCATACGTAAATACGCTCAAATGAAAAAAAGTAGGAAAGTAGATCTGGCGGTTTGCTAAATCTAAATTTCTCTCTGTTCCTTCTCTTTTTTTTGAAGTAAATCCGAATCCGCTATGTCTGGATTTTTTATGGATTCAAGTGATTTAGCTTCAGAATAAAATTAAATACTGAAATAAGATCTCAAACACAACAAAGATATTCAAGTGGATTTAACATTAATTGAACCAAACACTATTCTGAATTTATCACATCTGAACTTGATAAATCTGGATTTATCACATCTGAATTTGATAAATCTGAATTTACTAAATCATATTTAATGTAAATCCTAAGTACAGTAAAACACCCCATTTAGAAGTTAATATAATATTTTTTTTTTGATGTGATCTGAAAGATTTGGGTGATATAAATTTAAAAATGTAATATTTAAATGTTAGATATATAAATATATATATGAACTAGGTGGTATGTATATGTAAGAACAACTTAATATTTTTTAGAAAATAATAGATTTTTATGAAAATTGAAGGGAATTGTAGTGTGAATCAAATCAATTAAATAAACATAAATGATTTCATTTTCTTATTATTTTACTTTTGAAAATTGAGCATTAATCACAACTAAGTTTGAATACAATCATTAAATAGAGATAAGTTATTTAATTAATAAATTTGAGTTAATAATAAATTAAACATTAATATTGCTTAAAAAATGAGTACATATTAATATTTGTTTTGATATTAATTTAATTACAATAATTACTTAAATCATTAGAAATATAAATGGTTAAAAGTGATATAAGAGCTATGTTGGTTTGAGTAATAATTTTGGGATGACATATGAGTGATTGCAAAAAATAGATTGGTGTAGCAGTAAATGTAAATATTTTTACAATGGCATACTTTATGTCCAATTATGCAATTTGGTGTACAATTAAGTAATGGAGTCATTATGAACTAGTGATGTGGGGCTCAAATGGTTTCTTACATGAATTAATTAGAAGATCACTCGCTTTAGCTCGCAAGCTTACTCACTAATGGCATAGTGTTCGCTCTCCCAGCTCAGAGGACCTAAACTAAAAGATCACTCACCTAGATTAAAGGTTTAAGCTCAGTTAGGACTTGCCAAAACTAGAGGACTTTAGCTAAGAAGATGTTGACCTAGTTCACAGGAGAGCTTGCCCACCCTAAAGTCACTCCCTCCAGATAGAAAATATGAACTCATTGGCTCAAGAATGGCAACCTCTCTAATTGCTAAGCCAATCTAAACAATCATCAAGAAAACATACAACATGTAGTTCAATCATAAAATTTTTATGTTTGCAACAAATATAACATATATATTTAAACCAAAAGGAAGTCTCCCATATAATGCACAACAACCAAGCCCATAAATATGGGGTTATAGGGTCACATCAAAGAGGTACATCCAATAATATATTTTTGTCGCAATAACAAAATATTGTAAAATTCTCTCTCTTTATAGTTCTTCTTATCCATATTTCTCTACTTTATTTTCTCTTCTTCTCCTTTTAACCTTACTTTGTATTATATTAAAATATCTTTGGTCTTATAAATAGTTTTGAATATTACCAACAAAAAAAGAATTAAACATTCTTTGAAGTGCAATAATGAGTGAAGATTGATGAAAAAAATTTAATTATTACATGCTATGAGAGGTTAAGCCCTCAAATGTAAAAATGCTTCCGAACATCAAGAAAAAAAATTGTGTAACAAATAAATAAGTCATTTTGATGGAGGAGAGGATCATAACAACGATATAAGATGCTTTAGAGTGGACTCAAAGCACAATCCTATGGGTTTAAGCCCCCTATTGACTCTTTAAAGTTTATCATACAAAAATAATCCCTTAAGTGTCATAATAATAACCTCTACATCTAGCCATAGATGGAACTCAATATTCCAACATCAATGAGGAAACCACTTCTCAAACCAAGTGAGTCAAGAAATGGAACCCCAAACAGACGAATGCATTTTAAGGAAAAATTCTAAATTCAAAGTCTCTAAAAAAATTCTAAAAACCACACTTTGAATCCTTCAAAGGAAGAAAAAAGCTATATAATTGTATGACTTACTTTAAGTTAACCACTACACTACTTAATCCTTAATGATGCTTTAAATCTCTATCCATTCTTCATCTTTTAAAAGTATCATCCCTATGTTTGTTTTCACTCCATCAATTAAGGATAATAACTTCATTTATTAAATTCAAACAGATGTTTATTCTCCAATTCATTAGTACTCAAGAAACCTCTGAATAAGTTTTGATCTCTTCAAATGATAATATATGAGCCTAGTGAGTCTCTCCAGAATTTAATTATAAGAAAGGCCTAAAACTTGCATCTCTAAAGTATATCCCACTTAGGACTTTTAAGAGGGACCGTTTAAATATATCCTCAGCCTATAAAAACCATAAACATTGAAAAAGTTATTTCAACTTGCCAACAAGTATATCAATATTAAGAAATACCACATCATAGGCAATCCCTTCACCCTAACTCATCTAAGAGTTGCACCACTTAGGTGGGACTTCCAAAAAAACTGATTGATGACAAGTTATTTCTAAACTCAGATAGCAAAATTTTTTTTTCATAACCACCCATATTGAAAACACATGATTGATTACCCTAAAATGCCAAGGGTTATCAAACTAGTTATATGGTATTAAGAAGTATAACCCCCTCTTTCTTAGTTAAAAAAGAAAAGAGAGGTTGCATATATGTTACTATCAAAATATTACTACTATGTATTAATATCAAGACTTATAAAATTTATACAAATAAGGGTTTCCTTTAGTATTGAAACGGATGAGAGAGGGGGACACTAGCAATATACCATCAAGTATTAATTATTAAATAGATATTTAGCTATGACAAAAAAATGTTTAGCACTTAAAAAATAAGGTGAAAGGACTCAAAGTTAGGAAGTATAAATTTAAAAATAGTGAAAATCCTATATGTGTGGAACACCTCAGATCAATAATTTTAGGGTGATTTAGACATAATTTTATGAATCCCATCACACAACAGATTTAATTTTAATATTTTTTAGGTTAGTGGAACATTTAAATTAAATATAAAAAAAATAAGTGCATTTATTTCGTGCAATCATTTGAAAAAATTTGATGCATAATTGGTGTAATTTTGAGTGGATTCAAGGTCGGACATTAGGCTGACACTAAGTTGCGAGATCTAGCTTGAAAGGCAGAGAGGCGAGTACCCATATTCTAGAATTAGGCACTTAAACTCCATAACCATATCAAGCAAGCTGAAAGATTAGTGCAAAGGTGCCACATTATAACAAAAAACATGTCTAAGAATAAAGGGCTAAGTGCCAAGATGTTCGTCAACCCATAGTTCTTAATGTTATGAGACAATAGTAATGAATTTGTCTGAAGCCCATCATAAACACTTAGTAAACCTAGAGGATATAATATAATCATATAAAAATAAATCATTGTTACAAATTAAGAGAATTTTTAACAAGGTCTAAAGGTAAATCATAGTGTTCTTTCTAGTGTTTTTGGAGGAACCTTTCGAGTTAATCTTTGGTCTATACTTCAAACATTGGGTTCTGAGGATGAAGATGACTACTAATAGTATTATCTAGAAGCCTATCCTTACATTCCTTAGTCTTTTTATTTGATTATTTATTATAATGCTGAGCTATTTTTTGTTTTCAATTACTTTTTCCCATAAACATAAGTTAAACCCCCTTCTAGGGGTTGAATGTAGTCCTTGATGTGATGAGGTAGACTTAGTTTTTAATAAAAATATTAGAGTCTAATAATCATATATCTTCATGCATATTTGTATTCTAACTTCATTTTTATATGCTAATTTCATACAAAAATGCACTTGTATTCATTCATGCATATCTCCATGCCAAGTTCACTTAAGAGTAATTTTCATAAAAATTCTCAACCCAAAACATTTGCTCTAGACACTCATAATTCAAATTCTTAACCAAACTAAAATATTTCTTCTTGCAACATTTTTATTAATAGGGGCATTTACACATATACTACCTAAATATTATGTATATTATGTATTTACATACCTAACTCATAAACTTTACATTTTTATATTTATAACACCAACATATTCATATCACATAAGAAATACCACCATATCAACTTACATAAAGTTAAATACACGTGTTCATGCATAGATAAGTTGGCAATATATATATATATAAACATGTAAATACATAAGAATAGTCTGCATCTAATTATCCCAACTTTCAAATGGAAAAAGGAAGAGTCAGATTTGGATTCTGAATTATCCACTCAGCCCTTTTATTAGCATTCACAAATGGCACATCAAAAGATAGCCTAGAAGCCTGAGTGAGATTTTTTCTAACGAATAAACTGATCCTACAAGCTCAGAACAAATAAAGTCATTGAAATAATAATAATAATAACAATCAGAATAGGATGCTCTCTTGAGTATTTGTCAGCAAAACTTTCCCTAAATAACAAGCCAGAAATATAGCAAGTGGCTCATCCTTTCAAATATTCCATAGAGTTGAGTCAGGATCTTGGACCAGTTGATCTGAAAAAGATTAGTTTTGAGAAAAAATCTTTGAATAATGGGTTCATGGCCGGCTGATCTTATCGTCTCTCTCGGGCGGTGTTTGGCAGCGTTGGTGTTGAATCAGGATTTGTCCGAGAGAAAGAGAGGGAAGAGAGGAGGGAGCACGACGACTTGACTGAAATTAAGCGTTGAATCAGGATTTGTCAGAGAGAAAGAGAGGAGGGAGCACGACGACTTGACTGAAATTAGAACCTACTATTTGAATTGATGTTTGATGAAGATGGAGTTATCTTGGAACAAAGGACGTGAAAGGTCCTTCGCATGGATATTAGGCTGGCCACCTATTGATGGAAGCATCATTTAATAATGCTACGACAAAAAAGAGATATTAGCCATAGTATTCGCTTTTGATAAGTCCCAAGTTATATTTGATTGGAACCGAGGTGATCGTGTCCATAGATCGTGCTACAATCAACAACTTTTATTGTTTATTGAGCTTCATAGAGCATTCTTCATTGCTAAACTCCATTCTTCTTCTTCTTTCCTTGTATTAAATAAAATCATGGCATAGCCCAAGTCCATACAAGCCTTGATTCAACAACTTCCATGTTAACAAAACATTTTCCACATTTACTGATTGCATCCTGTTAAATGATATCTTCAAAAGTTTTAGTATTCTCGCATTCTATTTATCCATAGGTGCTAAGTTTCAGTTATTGTTATTTCTCGATGTAAATCCTGATTAGTTAAATCTAATTGCAAGGCAGATTTATTTAACCATCCCTCGTGAACTCTGAAATCGAAAATAAATCTGAATTTATCAGATTTGATAAATCCTACTTAACATAAATCAAAGTTACAGACGAACACAGTAAAACTTAACAAACACAAAGGAACTGAACTGCCCTGGGGGACTTAAATCTGACCATTTGCATAGGTTAAGCCATCCCTTGGACCAGCATCCTCACCAACGTGAACTTCAGACATAGTATTATCAACGAGCACCTGTTTGAGGAATATTATTAGTGTCTAATCATTGATTTGAAAGCATGCGAAAAACATAAATATATATTTGTGTAATCTTGTAGCAGGCAAATATTGCATCTCGAAAAAAATATGGAGGATATTCTGATCATAATTTTGAAATTATAAGCTTTGAATTCAGATTTGCTAGAGATGACAGAAAAATAATAGTTAATAATTCATGTATTGAACTCATTTTAAAGCAAATTTCAGTAATTGTGAACCTATTCTAATCATGTTTTGGTACATTTTTTTGTTCTATTGACCTTGGCTTTCAAAATCATATTCCGGTCCAATCCACAAGTATGATCTTTCACTTGGCATGCGCTCTTAATCGTATATGTTATTAACAACATCAAAGTCTAAATTTGAGCGCTAAATGAGGTGTCAATGTTTCATAAAAGTTGTTCAATTTTTAAGCACGTTCTTTTTAGTTCAAACATTTTTCTTTTTGTATTTCTTTCACATTCATTATTAATATTTCATTGATGCCACTTCTTCTCTTATCAACCATCATAATTTATTTTCCACAATCATATATTTCTCAATAATGCAGCCACATCACACAAGTTGCCATTATTTTGGTGTAATTTCTATTATTATCAATGAAATCTATTTTGCTTTAAGAAAAAAAAAATCATAGAACTTTAACTTAAAATTTGATTCAGCAATAGAATTCTAATTTCATTGTGGGGTTTGCGATAGGCAATAAATAACTAATGTAAATTTTGTCAAAAAATTAATATATGAATCATTTAAATCCTCGTGTAAATACTAGAGTGTTTCCTGGAAGCGTCGTACTGTATAACCTGAATAAAGTGAAAATTGTGTAAGGGCCACTACATCGACGTCCCACATTACAAACAGATGCGGGTAAAAAAGTTAGTCTATAAAACTAATATTATGATAGAGTCGTGAAATATAAGTACAATCACAGGTAAACTAATTTAATTAGTTGATATTAAGATTAATAAAAAGATAAATATCTTATGTATTCAAAAAATTAAATGGGTTGGAGAAAATGCCAAGTAGATTGGTAACCTAGGTTTTAAACTGTAGTATTCAGAGACCTCTTGAATAAAAAACTTTTATTGAAGGAGATTTAAACGGACATGTTGGTAGAATGATGGAAGATCTTATAAGTATTCAGTGGTCACGGTTTTGGAGTGATTAAAGAAGAAGGTAGAATGATATTAGATTTTACTTTAAAGTATGATTTTATTATTGTTGATATTTTATTTAAAAAAAAGAGACAACATTATTATATATAAGAATGGATCTAATAAAACACAAATTAATTATTTTCTTATGAGAAAAAGAGAATGTTGAGAATGTAAATATTGTAAGCTTATTTCAAGTGAAAATTAAATTACTCCACATCAATTATTAGTTCTGAATTTTAAGATGAGTTGTAAAATAAATAATACTATGAAAACATTGTCCTAGAATTAGATGGGGCACCTCAAATATATAAATAAAAATATTTCTAAGAGTAAACTTCAAGATTTCAAGATTTAGAATGTTTATGAAGAAGCTGAATCTATATGAGATAAAGTAACGAGTACTATTAAACAAGTGAAAATAGGTGCTTTGAGAATCAAAAAGAAAAATTTTTTTATAAATAAAAGTAGTTGATGGTGGGATAAAAATGTGCAAGAAATGATAAAAAATATAAAAAGTGTTGTAAAAATTGATTTAAATGTAAAAGGTTAGAGAACTGAAAAAAATACAAAGTGGCTCATAAGGAGTTGAAGAGGACAATTTGTAATGTTACAAATTTTATTTTTCGTATTTTTTATAATATTTATGTAAATTAAATATAAAAGAAAAGTACAAATTCAATTAAGAAAATTATATTAAAGATAAAAATAAAAAAATATACATTTCTTAGAGAAAGATATTCAATATAGGTAGGTGAAATATTTTTATAAATATTTCAATGAAGTTTCCAAAAATATCATCGACCTTAAAGATCTTAATATCATCAATAATAACAATTTTTTTTATTTTTATGATCACATTAGTAAAAAAAATTTGATGAGACTTTAAAAGAAAACTAATGGTGAAAAATCAATATGACTTGATGATATCCCACTTGATGTGTGAAAATATTTAGGAGATATGAAACTTTCTTAGCTTACTAAACTCTTCAATACTATTTTAAAAACTTAAAATGCCTCAAGAATGGAGGAATAGTGTTTTGGTTAGCATTTTTAAGAATAAAGAGGATGCACAAGAGTGTATAAATTTAAAATTATAGGAGAGGATAATTAAACATAGGTTAAGCGTGATATAGCAATTTCTCATAACCAGTTTGGATTTATCCCGGGCAAGTCAAGTGTGGACGTTATACATTTATTCAAAGGCTTAACGGAGAAGTACAGAGACAATAAGGAGGATCTACATATGATTTTTATTGATCTAGAAAATGCTTATGATAAGGTTCCAAGAGAAGTGCTTTGGAAAGTTCTAGAGAAAAAAATATTGATAAGACTTACATTCAAGTCATTAAAGAATGTATACTAGAGTTGTTACTCATGTTTGAATAAGAGGATTGATTAAGTATTATTCTATTTCAGTTGAATTACGTCAGAAATTGACTTTAAGCCCATATATTTTTGCTTTAGTTATGGAAAAACTTCAATTATAAAGGTCCACGCTAGAGTCTAAAGGTCTTCATTTGAGCAGATCTAAAGTTGAATATATAGAATGTAATTTTAGTGGCAGTAGTTCTAGTGATAGAGTAATTAGGGTGATCAAATCATTAAAAGGTGCAAACATTTTAGATATATCGGGTCCATTGTTCAAAGTGATTGTGATATAGATGAGATTTTATTAGTAGAATTCAAGGTTGTCAACTGATGAGACTTTAGAGATCCCTATATCTGATCCAACATTCTGTGTGATTAAAAAGTGTCACTTAGACTTAAAAGGAAGATTTTATAAGATGGTGGTGTGACCTGCAACCCTATATGATGCAGAATGGTGGCCTTTAAAAGAGAAGCATAAAACAAAGTTAAGTGTTACTGAGATGGGAATGCTTTTGTGGATGAATGACTTGACACTAAAGACAAAATGTGTTATTTTAAATAATTTTCATGAAAAGATAAAAGATAAAAATTTGTGTTATAAAAATTATTTTAAATGTAAAAACTT